ACTGCTTTTGTTTCATCTTGGGAGGGTTGGTTCATCTGGACCAACATACCAAAGGATAAAGGAAGAACATCTCAAAAACTGTCACATCTAGTGCATCAAGCCCCTTTTCCTTTTTTTGGTTTTCCATTGTGGAAAAGTTGTACCTGTACCCGCTACCTTACATACTTATTGAGGTTCCAAGCGAGCTGAGGCGATACTAAAATGTGAGGTGAAAACACAGCAGACTGCTGATTGGTCCTCGTCATCACGCCTGACAGAGGCCAGCAGTTGAGCTGGTTCTGGTAATGGAAAAAACGGCATTTGACCACTGACAGATACCAGGACAATGTAAGCCTCACTGTTTCTGCACCACAGTGCATTATAAACCACAGAGGCATTGTTTTTGAAATACAACGGAAACACAAAGTAGTACTAATAGCCACAATTTCCGCTTGTGGTAAAGCAGTGCAGCGTTTATCATGTTAATTATCAAATTACTCATTAGTATGCACAGCAGTGAAGCTGTAGCCCACAAACAAATACTTTTTTTTAATGCAAATTCTTCACACGGTCTTGTTATCGTAACACTGTTAGCAGTAAAAATAAGTGTTTTCCACCAGGGCAGTGAAATGAGAAGCTTAACTCCTGATCTGAGCTTCCAGCTGTAAAGTTTTATTGCAAATAATATTCATCAGAAGCCAAAAAGCCACATCGATGTTTTATTCTTCTAAGGTAATTAAAACATTTCATTATGTAAGGTCTTACACACCACTGAAAACATAGTTATAGATTTTATATTGCATTTCTGTCAATAGATCCTCCTAAATATTACGCACTGAATCTTTAAGGACGAAAATATCACAGACTCAGTTCAACTCACTGTTAGGTGGCAGGAATTCAAAGCTGCTGCTGTGCGTCAGAGATGACACATCTGGCTCTGCAGGGATACAGAAAATGTAGATAATTCTTCATTCTTCATTTACATCTGTAATAAGTAATTATAATCTGTAATAAACCTGCTCATTACTACACAGGCAGCATTAAAATTTTCACTGCCTTTACGGACTGATTCAATTATTATCTACTCTGCCCGAACCCAGTCGACTATACTTGCATCTGTATCTACACCTGGAGGCCACGCCTCTGTACCTGTGATGTCTGTACTAAAAAAAAGACTTGATGAAGAAACAAAACAAGGAGAAGAAGAGAAACTTCCTGCATTCAGGGCAAAGATGTGATTTTTACACCTTCAGAGTTACCAAACACTGACCAGGAGGAGGAAAGTCGGCCTCCCATTCCTCAGAATCTATAACACACTTAATAATTAAATATCCTCTTTCCCACCTCCACAGCGTGCACTCTGGTAGGTTTTGATGGTTTGGTTCAGACACCACCTCCCTAAATACAATTTAAAGCCTCACTACCTCGTTCCTTCTCCTGTCTTTGGCTTTCCTGTTGGTTTTATCTCAGTTTCTTCTTCTTTATTCTTTCACTCTTTTCTCTTCTATCTTCCTAATTTTGACCTCCCTTTCCTCACCTTGATGACGAAACATGTGAGGTTGCCTCATCATCTCAAACATCATGTGAGACATCATCTCTGGAAGATGAAACAGTGAATTAGAAAACACAGTAAGTGCAAACTGAATGCATGTCGAATACAATAAAATTGCATTAATAACCAGTGAGGACGTCACCAGACACACAAGCAGATTTAACATTTTCACTTTCATTTCAAAGGTCTGACTTGCTGATTTAGATTTTTTTTCTAAGAACTATAATTGACAGCATACACAAACATTTTTGTAACTTTTCTTTATTGGAAAATTCTCTTTATTAGGATCCCCATTATTATTGACTTTTCTGTCTACAGTCAATTCAACTGTATGTTCATTAAAAAACACTGACTATTAAATAACATTAATTTTCTCCAAACTGCTCTCACTCAGACACATCTGAAAATAAAAAGTGCCCCAGTTTAGATTACCGTACGAATAAAATGTAACTCAAAATTAACTGCAGTGTAACACGGCTCAGTGTTTCCCACAGAATGACGGTGGCTTTATTTGTTGGAAGTTTTTACAAGATGCAGTCTGTTTGTAGGTTCACTCTCTGTGCTCACAGGATGCATGGTTTGGTTCAGACACCATCTCTTTCTGTTTATCCTTCCTAAATACACTCAAAAGCCTCACTACCTCGTTCCCTCTCCTGTCACTGACTTAATTGTTGTTTTTATTTCAGTTTCTTCTTCTCTGTTCTTTCTCTTTCTTCTCTTTTCTTACTAATTTTCCCTCCCTTTCCTCACCTTCAAGATGTGCGATGTGATGTTGCAGATCACTTTTGTCCAAAACCCATATTGCCCGAGACATTCTAGCCACTGAGAAGAAAACACTGTATTAGAAAGCTCATAAGTGTGGACTGAATCCATGTTTTAAACAGTAAGGAAGTCACCAGACACACAACCAGCATTAATATTTTCTTAACAGACTGATTCTTGCATCTGTGTCAACATCTGGAGGCCACGCCTCCGCATAAAAAAAATACTGCTTTAAGAAACAAAACAACAACAACAAGAACAACTTGCTGCCTTCAAAATGTTGATTCTTACATCTGGACAAGTCAGCAGTCACTTACAGTCATTCCGACAGGTAATTTTCAGTTACCAAACACTGACCAGGAGGAGTAAAGTCGGCCTCCCATATCTCAGAATCTGAGTGTGAGTAGTACAAAACTAAATGGGCCGCGTTTGTTGTTTATATCTCTCTGTTTTTTCTTCTTCTCTGATGTTCTGTTCTTTCTTTCTCTTATTTTTGGTTGTTCCCTCCCTTTCCTCACCTCGGCTAAGTAACATATGATGTTGCCACTCATCTTCGTACCCACTGATCATCATCTCAAACATCACGTCAGACATCTCAGACATCATCTCTGAAAGAAAAAAAAGGTGAATTAGAAAACACAGTAACTGAATCCATGTTGAATACAATGAAATTGCACTAATGACCAGTGATCAGCAGTTGTTTTTATCTCTCTGTTCTTCTTCTCTGATGTTCTGTTCTTTCTTACTTCGACCCCAATTCCAATGAAGATGGGACGTTGTATAAAATGTAAATAAAGCCATAATACAATGATCTGCTAATCCTTTTCAACCTGTGCCAACCTGTGTTCAATTGAATACACCACAAAGACAAGATATTTAAAGTTCAAACTGATAAACTTTATTGTTTTTTGCAAATACTCACTCACTTTGAATTTGATGCCTGCAACACGTTCCAAAAAAGCTGGTAGAGGGGCATGTTTCCCACTGTGTCACATCACCTTTCCTTTTAACAACACTCAATAACAGTTTGGGAACTGAGGACACTAATTGTTGAAGCTTTGTAGGTGGAATTCTTTCCCATTCTTGCTTTATCCAACTTCAGCTGCTCAACAGTCCGGGGTCTCCGTTGTTGTATTTTGCCTGTATGTACCTTTCAGCATTAATGGTGCTTTCACAGATGTGCTAGTTCCCCATGCCATGGGCACTAACACACCCCCATACCATCACAGATGCTGCCTTTTGAACTTTGCGCTGATGACAATCCGGATGGTTCTTTTCCTCTTTGGCCCGGAGGACACGACGTCCATAATTTCCAAAAACATTTTGAAATGTGGACTCGTCAGACTACAGCACACTTTTCCACTTTGCGTCAGTCCATCTCAGATGAGCTCGGGCCCAGAGAAGCCGGCGGCGTTTCTGGCTTTCGCTTTGCATGGTAGAGTTTTAACTTGCAATTGTTGATCTAGTGACGAACTGTGTTAACTTATAATGGTTTCCCAAAGTGTTCCTGAGCCCATTCCATTTTTTGGAACGTGTTGCAGGCATCAAATTCAGAGTGAGTGATAATTTGCAATAAAAAAGTTTATCAGTTTAACATTACATATCTTTTCTTTGTAGTGTATTAAATTGAACACAGGTTGGAAAAGATTTGCAAATCATTGTATTCTGGTTTTATTTACGTTTTACACAACGTCCCAACTTCATTGGAATTGAGGTTGTAAATTTTCCGTTCCTTTTCTCACCTTTAAGATGTGAGATTTCATGTTGCAGATCAGCTTCGTCCACACAGGACATCATCTCAGAGACTGAGAAGAAAAAAGTGAATTAGAAAACACAATAAGTGCAGACTGAATCCATGAGAATCTGTCATCCATTATCAACTTGAAACCAGTGTTAAGTTTGGGAGCTATTTTAGATTTAATTTTAGATGAAAATGCTTCTTGGATTTTTCTCTTTCATAGTTTTAGTTTAGTTTTAATCAACAAACACTTATTTTACTCAACATTTAGTCAAAATGTTTTCTCTCTCTAAACCAATATAATTAGGCTAATACAGATATTTAAACATGCCAGAAAGTTTGATCAGGCATTTGTTTAGGTTGTGCTTTCCATTATTACCTTTAAACACTATCACACTAGTGCTGACACAATTAGTCAAATAATATGCCTACTTGTCCTTAGAGTTAAAAAAAAAGACAAACATACACTAATATCTTAGAAATAGATTGCTGTGTAATCTTAGAAATACTGTAACCGTTTGACTGGATAGTAATTGAAATCCATGTTCAAGGCTCTCCATTGAGCTTTGGTAAGGACAAGCAAGTGAAAACAGCTCAAGCATATTTTACAAGCAGCTTGTTCAAATATATAAATAAATCAACTTAAACAGGCTATAAACATTATAGCAGCAACATGTGATGCATATTTAGACACATTAGGAAACAGGTCTGAAAAGCCAACACATTTTTTTCTGTTGGGATGAGTAAACCAAAAAGTTTACTCACAAGCTTTGAAGCTAACGAGCTGATGTTAGCTAAAACATTAATCCAGCCAACGTGAGCCAGGTTCTTTTATTCATTTGCTTCTGCAAACTTCCAGCCAGACTACGCCAACGTGGCTTGGAAATTTCAAAAAGTTCACTTCTTATGCACTGTGTGCATAAATTAAAAAAAAATAAAAGATCCTGACTAAACCTGTTTTACTCACTTTCATATAGCACAAAATCCAAAGCTGCTGCTGAACATCATGTGTGACATGTCTGGCTCTGTAGAAAATGTAGACATTCATTTATTCTTTTATTCACATGTAATCTGCGATAAACAACCTCAGAGATCTCTGGAGTTTTTTTTAAGTTGAATGAACTTTGACGAGCTGATTTATTGCTAGTAGGACTCACCTCTTAAACTCAGATGCTCTCCATTGTTCTCTTTCGCAACCTGACCCAGGCGAGTTAACAGCTCTGGAAGTTCAAGGTTTTTCCTCCACAGAAACCTGTAGTGACATTTTCTGATCATCTCCTTTAAGGGCGGATGGTTCATGTATTTTTCCATGAAACCTGGACTCTTGTCTCTTGGTGTTGATATCAGCACCAGTGAGTGATCAAATGATCGATCACTGAGATATTTGAGGATTGTACAGAGCCTCAGTCTGCCTTTCTCATCGAAGGCTTCAGGCTGTAGAACCAGCAGGAACACATGAGGTCCAGGATCAGAAAGTCTTACACACCTTTCTACAGGTCTTCTCAGTCTGTGTTGTGAGATCCTGGGATGCAGCAGATCAGGTGTGTTGATCAGAACTATTTCTTTCTCCTTCAAACGTCCTCTGACTCTCAGACAGTCGTCTGGTTCTCCTTTAGTGTTGAACTTAGTCTCTCCCAGTATGAAGTTCCCCACTGAACTCCTCTGAGACCAGTTGTTCCCCAGCAGAACAACCCTCAGCTCAGACACTGAATAGAAAACACAGTAAGTGTAGACTGACTCCATGCGGAATAAAATAAAACAACCAGTCAGAAAGTCACAGCTTCTTTAAAGTGGACTTTATCTGTCATCCATCATCAACTTTAAACTTGCAGATTTACAAGTGAGCTTGCAAATATTTGAATGAAATAAAATGTTAGTTTGTGTTTACCACCTACAACCACTGTAAATACAAAAACAGAAAAATATTTCTGACTCAATTCAACTCACTGTTAGGTGGCAGGAATTCAAAGCTGCTGCTGCGCGTCACAGGTGGCACATCTGGCTCTGTAGCGATACAGAAAACACTTTAAGCAGTCCAGCATACTTAGCATATGAAGTTTATGTATTTTTTTTGTTATATAATGTTTATTGTTTTTGTTTGTAATGTAAGCAAGACAGAATAGCAATGGAGAGATAGAGATGTGTAAGCAAAAGCAAAACATTAAATTAAATTTTTTAACAACTTTACTAGGTCTGTATTGGTCTACAAATGTTGAACTTTTTGTTCCCTGTCCCGTCATTGACTTTCTGGTAGTCTTTATCTCTTTGTTTCTTCTTGTCTGATGTTCTGTTTTTTCTCACTCTCTCTTCTGTTGTTAAGTTTTTCCTCCTTTTCCTCACATTCATGGAAGATTCTGTCACATTGACTCACAGAATTAGAGCTGAGCGATACAGCCTAAAAATCATTAGGTCTGACCCCGAATAGTCATACATGGTGTGTTTGTAGTGGCAGAAGAGGAACTTGCTGTAGAGACGGAGCCTTAACTTCACCGGTGTTTGGATCATTTCTCACCATTGATGAACCACACAAAGAATATTACATCATTTTTAAATAGTGCTTGAAATAGACCCGCGAGGAACCGTGATGTGCATGTAGCTGTCGGTCGAGCCTGTGTGAAATGTAGCCTCAGTTTCTTGTTCTTAGCTGGCAGGAGTGGCACCCGGTGTGGTCTTCTGCAGCTGTACCCCATCTGCTTTAAGGTTCAACATCTTGTGCATTCAGAGATGGTGTTCTGCATACCTTAGTTGTAACGAGTGGTTATTAGAGTTACTGTTGCCTTTCTGTCATCTCGAACCAGTCTTCCCATTCTCCTCTGTCCTCTGACATCAACAAGGCATTTATGTCCACACAACTGCCGCTCACTGGATAATTTCCCTTTTTTAGACCATTCTCTGTAAACCCTAGAGGTGGTTGTGCGTGAAAATCGAGATCAGCAGTTACTCAGACCAGCCCGTCTGGCACCAACAACCATGCCACGTTCAAAGTCACTTAAATCCCCTTTCTTCCCCATTTTGATGCTCAGTTTGAACTTCAGCAAGTTGTCTTGACCACGTCTACATGCCTAAATGTATTAAGTTGCTACTATGTGATTGGCTGATTAGCTATTTGTGTTAACAAGTGATTGAACAGGTGTACCTAATAAAGTGGCCAGTGAGTGTGTATATTCTGTATATTTTTAATTGTCACCTGCAACCTGAATTTTCTGATTTCCTTCACATAAATAAAACAATGAAACATTTTAATAAACTGGCACAGAAACTAACCATTTAATGATCAAAATGTTCATTTAACTCGGGACTGAAGATTTCTTAAAAATAGTGTTAAAATCCTGTCTCGTCTCGATCTCGTGAGCTAAGTGTCTCGTCACACCCCTACCTATGTTTAGGAAGGTAGAAAAGTGGCCTTTATTTCTCTTTTGTGCTTTGTTTGATTATGTAATCTAGTGAGTATGATTATCGGATGTTTTGTTTATTGCTTTGGCCATGCTCTCCCTGACGCCTAATTTACCCTGATTGATGAATAAATGAATTCTCTGTAGACTGTATCAGCTGTGGCAATAGTCACCTTTGGGAGTGGGGAAAGAAGGAAGTCATTTTTTTGCTGCCCTCAGGTTTCCCTTCAGGCAGGTTTAATAATTCAGGTTTTTTCATTCACATTTAATCTGTGATAACGAACTTCAGAGAACTCTGGAGTATTTTTAAGATGTAAGAAATTTGATGAGCGAACATGGCTTGACAGCAAATTTGCCACAAGTTCACATACCCACTGCCCAGTAACACTGACTTTAATGTTGGTAAATTTATATGCTTAGTTAACAATAGGGTTATTCAATATCTGAGACTGCGGGCCTCCCCTTACTTTATTTGGTTTGCTTAGTTTCAGTAATACATAGCTGTTTGACGTAACTTCAATACCAAATACATAACAAAGGCCTTAAAGCATTTATCAGTTCCTGACTCTGAGAAAGTGCAAAAACGTAAAATATCTCAAACTACTGTATCTCTGAACTCCCTCTTTAACCAGATCACACAATTCAGCTATTGTATGTGATCTCCCTGGGGAGGCCCACCACCCACTTTGAAAACCCCTGCATTAGGAACTTCAAATAGCAGGGTTGGTTGTTCTCTTAGTCTCTCGTTACCACAGTGCATTGTAACATCCGTTCATTGAAATTATAAGTGTGTCCATAGATCCCGACCAAAACCATTTACCTTGAAACCATCGTTTTGTCGTCATGTAATTAATGCTGCTTGAAACATCGAAATTCACCAGTGAAGTTGCAAATGTTGCATTGAAAGTACATTTAAGTTTGTTTCCACTACCTACAAACACCTACATGTTAATACACAAAAGAATATTTCTGACTCAGGTCAGTTGAACTTACGCACAGACTGCTGGTGGCCATTGCTGCTGCAGCTTGCAATTTCTCTTAAATAGGCAGACTCCTGAAATCCACATCTGATGCTGAACATCATGGGTGACATATCTTGCTCCGTAGGAACACAGAAAATGTAGACATTAATTTATTATTTCATTCACATGTAATCTGTTATAAACAGCTTCAGAGATCTCTGGAGTTTCTGGATCTAGGAAATATGACGAGCAGATTTTATTGCTAGTAGGACTCACCTCTTAAGCTCAGAGGCTTTCCATTGTTCTCTTTCACAACCTGACCCAGGCGAGTTAACAGCTCTGGAAGTTCAAGGTTTTTCCTCCACAGAAACCTGTAGTGACATTTTCTGATCATCTCCTTTAAGGGAGGATGGTTCATGTATTTTTCCATGAAACCTGAGCTCTCCTCTCTGGGTGTTGATATCAGAACCAGTGAATGATCAAATGATCTATGACTGAAGAGTTCCAGGACTCTGCAGAGCCTCAGTTTGTGTTCCTCAGTGAAGTCTTCAGGCTGTAGAACCAGCAGGAACACATGAGGTCCAGGATCACAGAGTCTCACACAGTTTTCTAGAGGTCTTCTCAGACTCTGTTGTAAGATGCTGGGAAGCAGCAGATCTGGGGTGTTGATCAGAACTATTTCTTTCCCCTTCAATCGTCCACTGACTCTCAGACAGTCGTCTGGTTCTTCCTGAGTGTTGAACTTAGTCTCTCCCAGTATGAAGTTCCCCACTGAACTCTTTTCAGACCAGCTGTTCCCCAGCAGAACAACCCTCAGCTCAGACACTGAAAATAAATCACTGAATTAGGAAACACAGTAAGTATAGACTGAATCCATGCGGAATAAAATAAAATGGGGTTAACAAGAATTCAGGACGTCACAGCTATTAAGGTTTTACCAGTGGGTTTTGTTGTTGCACATCCACCAATGTGTCACTTAACCCCTAGTTACTCCAGAGGTGTGTGACCTCTAACTCTGAAACTATTTTGATCAAATCTACTTTTAAAATAAAGTCCTATCTCTAATATAAACCTGCTTCAAATAAAGACTTGTGAGTCGGCCAATATTACAAAATTAATTTTGTTATTTTAGAGAAAATGTGAAAATATCGAGTCATAAATCATATATATCATGGCATAGCCTAAATGTATTGAGATCTTTCTTTTATACCCGTAGCGCCCAGTCCTGCCTACAAACGCTGTAATTCTAGATTTTAATATGGAAGAAAATATTTTTGACTCCGTTCTACTCACTGTTAGGTGGCAGGAATTCAAAGCTGCTGCTGCGCGTCACAGGTTCCTCTTCTGGCTCTGCAGGGATACAGAAAATGTAGATGATTATTCATTCATTCATTCACATTGAATCTGTAAGAAACCTGCTCATTACAATGATTGTTGGTGTCCACAAGTTGCATTAACATTTTCACTGCCTGAAAACACTGATTCAATTATTATTTACTCTGCCCGAACCCAGTTGATTATTGTCACTATCCTGTTCTGAGTATAATAATATAAACACAGACAACCCATGTTTATATTATTTTGGCCATGCCTTCCTCTTTTGATTCTTGTTTCTCTTTTTACGGGTTTTGGTTCTTGATTCTGAAGTTTTGGTTGAGTTTAGTTCTCTGTGAGTTCATTTATTGATCAGTTCAGTAACCGTTTCAATCCTGTCTGTTGTCTTGCATCCAGTCTTCTCGGTGTGTGTATGTAGTTTGATTTGGTCCTGTCTATCTGTGTCTTGTGTAGTAGGTACTATGTTGTTCTGTCTTCTGCATGTTCTGTGTGGTTGTTCTGGTCTGATCTATCCTGTTGATATTTCGCTGCCTGCCTTGGTTCTTTTCCTGTCTGAAAGGTCGAAAGGATCAAGTTGAGGTGGTTTGGGCATCTGGTAAGGATGCCTCCTGGACGCCTCCCTAGGGAGGTGTTCCAGGCACATCCAGCTGGGACGAGGCCTCGGGGAAGACCCAGGACTAGGTGGAGAGATTGTATCTCCACACTGGCCTGGGAACGATCCCCCGGTCAGAGCTGGTTAATGTGGCTCGGGGAAGAGAAGTTTGGGGTCTCATGAGATGTGTGTTTCATGTTTGGGAATGGAGCACGCCCGGGCAGCTCTTGAGGGGGCTGCCTGCGCCCGTTGCGAAGCCCTTTCCGTGCGGGTACTGAGGTACAGCATGCTCTCTTTTCCGAGGATGGCCGGATGTGTTCTCCCTGTGGTGCGGGCCCTGCGGCCGCTGAGGCAGCCCGGCCGCTTACTCATGGGGTTCACAGCGATGTCGGAGGATTTCGGGAAGGCTGAGGCTTTTTCCCAACCTTCATCCGCTGGCTCCGACGCTTCCTTAGTGTCGTAACCGACGCAGTTCGAGTTCCCTCGAAGGGGAACGTCTCGGGTTACGTATGTAACCCTGGTTCCCCGAGAAGGGGAACGAGACACTGCCTCGGCCCGCCGCACCTCTCTCCCCGCCTGAAGCGCCTGCTTCATAGTTTAAGCTAATGATGAGTGTGTACGGGTGCTTTATACTCCTCCGGTTATTCCGTCACACCTTACCGTTCTAGCAACAAGCCAATAGGATTGGAGTGATTTCATTCACGTTCAGACCTGCTACGCCTAGAGGCGTTCCCATAGTGTCGTAACCGACGCAGTGTCTCGTTCCCCTTCTCGGGGAACCAGGGTTACATACGTAACCCGAGACGTTATATTGTGTGTATTTCTTGGTTGAATCTCTTCTTTGGGTTTCACATCCACTGTTTCTTCGGTTACAAAGCACAGCCTCAAATTAGTATTTCACTTTTCAAAGTATTGTCTGTGGCATCAAAAGCCACCAAGTTCTTGCCGAAACCCGGGATCGAACCAGGACCTTTAGATCTTCAGTCTAACGCTCTCCCAGCTGAGCTATTTCGGCCGCTGTTGCTTTGTCGGCCCACCAGAGGCCGATCTAGCATAGGATAACGTTTCTGATATAATGCAGCACAGGTACTCTTGACTTTTGAAGCAAATATTTTGATTATTTTCTCACATTATTAAAAACAACTACTTTTACTTAAATAGCATTTTAATCCAGTGTCTACAAACGGTTTCCTGAATTAGATGGAATATGTAGCGCGGGGTGATGGGGTCCCTCCTCAGGGCTATCTAATCCCTGTACATCCAAAGCGAGAACTGTGTCCGAGTACCCGGCAGTAAGTCGGACTCTTTCCAGGTGAGGGTTGGCCTTCGCCAGGGCTGCGCTTTGTCACCAATCCTGTTTGCGACAGTCATGGACAGGATATCGAGGCGTAGCCGTGGTGGGGAGGGGTTGCGGTTCGATGGGCTTGGTATCTCGTCACTGCTTTTTGCGGATGATGTGGTCCTGATGGCGTCATCGGCCCTTGACCTTCAGCTCTCACTGGATCGGTTCGCAGCAGAGTGTGAAGCGGTTGGGATGAGGATTACCACCTCTAAATCTGAGGCCATGGTTCTCAGCAGGAAACCGGTGGAGTGCCAACTCCAGGTAGGGAATGAGTCCTTACCCCAAGTGAAGGAGTTCAAGTACCTCGGGGTCTTGTTCACGAGTGAAGAGAGACTGGAGCAGGAGATTGGCCGCAGAATTGCACTCGCTTTACCGCACCGTTGTGACGAAAAGAGAGCTGAGCCGTAAGGCAAAGCTCTCGATTCACCGGTCAATTTTTGTTCCTACACTCACCTACGGTCATGAAGGCTGGGTCATGACCGAAAGAACGAGATCGCGGGTACAAGCGGCCGAAATGGGTTTCCTCAGGCGGGAGCTCAGAGTAGAGCCGCTGCTCCTTTGCGCTGAAAGGATCAAGTTGAGGTGGTTTGGGCATCTGGTAAGGATGCCTCCTGGACGCCTCCCTAGGGAGGAACGATCCCCCGGTCAGAGCTGGTTAATGTGGCTCGGGGAAGAGAAGTTCGGGGTCCCCTGCTGGAGCTGCTGCCCTCTTACCTGAAGAAGAAGTCTACCAGCATGTCCGGCAACCAGATGTACAGAAGGTGTGTTTTTTCTTGCCCTCGGTACATCACGGATAGAGATTCTCATGAGATGTGTGTTTCATGTTTGGGAATGGAGCACGCCCGGGCAGCTCTTGAGGGGGCTGCCTGCGCCCGTTGCGAAGCCCTTTCCGTGCGGGTACTGAGGTACAGCATGGCTCTCTTTTCCGAGGATGGCCGGATGTGTTCTCCCTGTGGTGCGGGCCCTGCGGCCGCTGAGGCAGCCCGGCCGCTTCACTCATGGGGTTCACAGCGATGTCGGAGGATTTCGGGAAGGCTGAGGCTTTTTCCCAACCTTCATCCGCTGGCTGCGACGCTTCCTTAGTGTCGTAACCGACGCAGTTCGAGTTCCCTCGAAGGGGAACGTCTCGGGTTACGTATGTAACCCTGGTTCCCCGAGAAGGGGAACGAGACACTGCGTCGGTTACGACACTATGGGAACGCCTCTAGGCGTAGCAGGTCTGAACGTGAATGAAATCACTCCAATCCTATTGGCTTGTTGCTAGAACGGTAAGGTGTGACGGAATAACCGGAGGAGTATAAAGCACACCTGTACACACTCATCATTAGCTTAAACTATGAAGCAGGCGCTTCAGGCGGGGAGAGAGGTGCGGCGGGCCGAGGCAGTGTCTCGTTCCCCTTCTCGGGGAACCAGGGTTACATACGTAACCCGAGACGTTATATTGTGTGTATTTCTTGGTTGAATCTCTTCTTTGGGTTTCACATCCACTGTTTCTTCGGTTACAAAGCACAGCCTCAAATTAGTATTTCACTTTTCAAAGTATTGTCTGTGGCATCAAAAGCCACCAAGCTCTTGCCGAAACCCGGGATCGAACCAGGAACCTTTAGATCTTCAGTCTAACGCTCTCCCAGCTGAGCTATTTCGGCCGCTGTTGCTTTGTCGGCCCACCAGAGGCCGATCTAGCATAGGATAACGTTTCTGATATAATGCAGCACAGGTACTCTTGACTTCTGAAGCAAATATTTTGATTATTTTCCCACATTATTAAAAACAACTACTTTTACTTAAATAGCATTTTAATCCAGTGTCTACAAACGGTTTCCTAAATTAGATGGAATATGTAGTGCGGGGTGAGGGGGTCCCTCCTCAGGGCTATCTAATCCCTGTACATCCAAAGCGAGAACTGTGTCCGAGTACCCGGCAGTAAGTCGGACTCTTTCCAGGTGAGGGTTGGCCTTCGCCAGGGCTGCGCTTTGTCACCAATCCTGTTTGCGACAGTCATGGACAGGATATCGAGGCTTAGCCATGGTGGGGAGGGGTTGCGGTTCGATGGGCTTGGTATCTCGCTTTTTGCGGATGATGTGGTCCTGATGGCGTCATCGGCCCTTGACCTTCAGCTCTCACTGGATCGGTTCGCAGCAGAGTGTGAAGCGGTTGGGATGAGGATTACCACCTCTAAATCTGAGGCCATGGTTCTCAGCAGGAAACCGGTGGAGTGCCAACTCCAGGTAGGGAATGAGTCCTTACCCCAAGTGAAGGAGTTCAAGTACCTCGGGGTCTTGTTCACGAGTGAAGAGAGACTGGAGCAGGAGATTGGCCGCAGAATTGCACTCGCTTTACCGCACCGTTGTGACGAAAAGAGAGCTGAGCCGTAAGGCAAAGCTCTCGATCCACCGGTCAATTTTTGTTCCTACACTCACCTATGGTCATGAAGGCTGGGTCATGACCGAAAGAACGAGATCGCGGGTACAAGCGGCCGAAATGGGTTTCCTCAGGCGGGAGCTCAGAGTAGAGCCGCTGCTCCTTTGCGCTGAAAGGATCAAGTTGAGGTGGTTTGGGCATCTGGTAAGGATGCCTCCTGGACGCCTCCCTAGGGAGGAACGATCCCCCGGTCAGAGCTGGTTAATGTGGCTCGGGGAAGAGAAGTTTGGGGTCCCCTGCTGGAGCTGCTGCCCTCTTACCTGAAGAAGAAGTCTACCAGCATGTCCGGCAACCAGATGTACAGAAGGTGTGTTTTTTCTTGCCCTCGGTACATCACGGATAGAGATTCTCATGAGATGTGTGTTTCATGTTTGGGAATGGAGCACGCCCGGGCAGCTCTTGAGGGGGCTGCCTGCGCCCGTTGCGAAGCCCTTTCCGTGCGGGTACTGAGGTACAGCATGGCTCTCTTTTCCGAGGATGGCCGGATGTGTTCTCCCTGTGGTGCGGGCCCTGCGGCCGCTGAGGCAGCCCGGCCGCTTCACTCATGGGGTTCACAGCGATGTCGGAGGATTTCGGGAAGGCTGAGGCTTTTTCCCAACCTTCATCCGCTGGCTGCGACGCTTCCTTAGTGTCGTAACCGACGCAGTTCGAGTTCCCTCGAAGGGGAACGTCTGCTGTCTTCATGGAGGCCTCATCACCTCACTCTCGGATAGTGGGATCTCCGCGGCCCTCTTCTTGTCCAATAGAGGTTTGTGGGATTTCAATGCTGTGTGAGGTTTTTGTTCCTACAAACAAAAGAGCCCTCTCGCCTGTCCAACCATACGTCCGTACAAATGGAGCAGTGCGTTGCTCCTGCATTCTCATAAAATTCAAGCCAGTCATGTCGTTCATCCGTTTCACTAACCTTCCATAAAATATCTTTGTTTCTTGTTGTCTGTCTATTTATATCCACCTCAACTCATTTTACAGGCTTTTGTATATTTTGAAAACAACACCAGATTGTTGTAGCTAAGTTGTTCATACTTAAAGTGAAGCTACTCAGTAAGGAGTAGGTGTGCATGCGATGTGTCTTTTTATTGGTTAGAATTCTAAACTTCCACTGTCAATCAAAACAAATACGGCTCTACAGCCAATAGCATCTTTTCAATCATAGTCTGGCCATACATTGTGCGTTTCCCTGTCCACCAAAGTGGCAGATGGAATGATGATTTTACCCACCACTGCTAACAATTTACCCACCTGTGGCAGGTGGCGGATGCTAATTTCAGACCCTGCAATAATTGTAAGAGTGTTTTCATTTTGAATTGTCCACTATTAAATAGTTTTATAGTATTTTAATAACTTACTGTTGCAATGCATTTATTGTGAATTGTCCCCAGAATTGGGGACAATTCACAATTGCACATACATTTGATTATTTCTAAATTGCATGATACTTCAAATGTGTTGATATTGATTCAATATGTAATATTTCTTATTTTATTTATTTATTTTATTCATCCACCACATGATTACATTTTCTTTCTGATGACTAAATGTGCTTAAATTGTAAAACACTGAAATGGAAAACAGAACCTGGCAACAAATTAAAACAGATTTCATAGGGTCCACGGTCTCGTCGCCCGGAATGTGAATGAAGCCCCATCAGCAGAGGTGGGTAGAGTAGCCATAAACTGTACTCAAGTAAAACTACTGTTACTTTGCAAAAACAAGTACTCAAGTAAAATTAAAAGTGGTTATCAAAATAACTGCTTAAGTAAGAGTACAAAAGTATTTACAACAAAAAGTACTTGAGTAGTGAGTAACGTAATAAATAAGAAATAAATAACAGTGGGTCTTTTCCCCCATGTTCTTTATTTGATGTGGATATGACTAGAATTATTTCAGATGGTCTTTGCAAGTAAAGAAGTGATGATACACTCCTGATTAGATAACCTGTCACATTTACAACAGAACAAAATTCCCAGTGTGTATCCATTAAGTGTGATTACAAAATACTACATTAATATTATAGTATGTTAGAACTCTAATAAGTAAAGATTGTTTAAAAATATAAATTATTTTCTTGGTGCGTCTTATGATTTGGCAAACAAATGAAATTACATAAAAATTCGGTTTTGTTTCAAAATTTATTGCCTTCTTAAATACAGGTGTGTTCCCTTAAAGTAACATAGTGCAAAGAAAATAAAACACATAATAACAAATACACGATAAAAGCAAGAAAATACTTAGGGAATAAAAAAGTAAATAAAATAATAATATATATAATAATAAAATAAAGTAATAAAATATATATAAAAAAGAATGAAATAAAATTAACTAAAATCAGGAAAGGCTCTTCTATAAAAGTATTTTTTAGGAGGGGACTTAAAAGAGTTCACTGACTCTGCAGCCCTGATTTCCTCAGGCAGGCTGTTCCAGAGTCTCGGGGCCCTGAATGCAAACTACTCCCTTTAGTTTTTAAGTACGTGCTGGTGGCTAAAAGGTCAGAGAATATTGTGTGTAGCTATTTATTATTAAACATATTAGCATGAACACAACAGACACTGCTCTCTGTCTGCTCAGTGTCAGCGCGGTGTAGCCTACTGACTTCAGAACTGAAACCTGCTGTACCAACCCGGTTTCATCCCACATCGTCAGATACTGACGCTTTGAGAAAACCCGACAAAGCGTCAGTATGGGACGACCTGGGATGAGACCGGGCTGGCTGCACATTGCACAACATTTTAATCTGTAGCCAAAATGTTACAGTATATAGTATTTGAAAGACATACTGCTGTGGCCATTACTCTTCTCTAACAGAGTCATGCGGATAGCCTACATGGCTGCGGTAAAGTGCTGAAGTAGTACAATGAATGTCTCCAAATGTAGCAAAGTAAAATAGCCTAATGATTTTTCTCTTAAAAAACTACTCAAGTAAGTAAAAAGTATGATACATTAAAACTACTCTCACAAGTCCAGTTTTCTCAAAACAATTACATGAGTAGGTCTGGAGGAGTAAATGTAACTTGTTACAACCCACCTCTGATCAGGAGGTAGTAACTTTAGCAATAAAAATGTGGAGAAACGGAGAACGTGATGAGCCTAAACAAAATTAGTGTGCCGCTGTTAAATATATCTGATCTATTTAACACATACAGTACAAAGTACTTTTGGTAAAATACATCCAGAGTGATGATTAGGATGATATGAGATGAAAGTCACATCAGGGTGATTTACTTGCCTACAAACGGCATGTGTCCCCACGCACAAAAGGTGTGACCTAATTCCTCTGACATAATGTAATAATATTTATAATATATATTCTTGAACCCAAAATCCATGTTACAAAGTGCTTCACATCGGCAGCAAAATAAAACATAGAAGTCATCAAGTTTTAAAAAAAACAATTTGGTGCATGAAAAGGAATACAGTGTAGGTAAAGGTAAGAAAAAACATAATGGAACAGTCATTTTCTAGTGAAACTGGACATGTGGTGTGTAACATGTGGACAGTGAGCTCAGACAGTGTGTCATCCACAACTAATAAAGTCTTACTGGACTGAGAAGATGATGAGCCCCCCATAACGTCACTCTGCTGAAAGACCAGAGGCCGACTGGGAACCAACTGCTGGGTTTAAAAACCTAAAGAGAGAATAATGTAAAATGTAAAATTATCTTGTTTGTTAACTTGTTTTACCTCCTCTGACGCTGCCTCACATTACATCAGCAAACCTCCTAACACAACACACACACACACACACAAAGCAAGTATAACATCAGTTTCTATGTGTAATAACCATTAGGGCTGAACGATTTTGGAAAATTGCTGCAATTTTTTTAACCAATATTGTGATTAATAACGTTTTTCGTTTTTGGCAAACATTTTATTGTTATTTCTTTTTGAACAAAGAGAGTCTGTGAACTTCAGTCAACTCGTGTTTCGTTATAAACCAAAAACGGAAGTCACGTGGTCTGTTCCTTTTATGGAAGCGAAAGTAACCGGTAAAACCTTCAAAATAAAAGTAGCCCATGTACCATGTAGTTAAAGAGGTGATTTTAGACTAAAACTAAACTAAAATAAAGTTTTTTAGTAAAACTAAAGTAGCACTGGGTGTGAAAAAAACACTAAAAATAATAAAATAAACTTTGCTATTTTCGCCAGTTTAAAATACTCATGTTAGTTAAGTTAATACTTTTAATGCAGCCTGTAGTTCTCATAAGTTATGTAGGCATACTTATGTGTGAAACCTGGTGAGCATTACTGAGAGTCAAAAATTATCTCTGGCTCTGGGGCTTTCTGATCTTTTAATGCTTTTTGGGTTTAATTCTGTTAGAAGAACCAGCAGGGAAAGGCCGTGCTCTGAACTGTTCGTACTTGTGTAAAGTAAAATAAAAGTGAAGTTGAGTCAATTAGTTTTTCCTCCGTGGTACTCATCTCAGGACCTCCCAGATTTTCCCCAGTACCTGGAGGATGTGAGCCAGTGCAGGTTTAAGGACTGATGATAGTATCAAGGCTGGTCCCATCACCTACCGTCACCCTCTTCAAATTAACGCTGGACAGGCAGGACAAAGCAGAACACCACTCCTTCCTCCAGCACCAGAAAAGGCCCTGTTGTCACTTTCAGAATTATGGTAACCACACCTTGTAAATGTGGCGCTGTTTTTGTGGATTTGGATGATGTCAACTTATGTCTTTTAATAAACATTTATATAATATACAGCAGGCTTTTGTGTACAACAGTACAGTGAAGCAGGGCTCTGCAGTGCAACTCTTTCACTCACATATGCTCAGAAATGATTTACAAGCACAGTGGGTTAGTGAAGACTAAAACCTACTGTAAATAATGTTAAGGTTATATTATACCAATAGTCATTTATACTAGTTCCTCCTCCAGGTTGTGGTTAGAGCCTCTGCAGTGGACAAATGTAGATTTAGTTCAGTCTACAACATTTTCAGGCCCATGTTGAGCATTCAGAGCCAGTAGTCTTCACATCATAAAACAGTCATTGCACTCAAGGAGAAGGAGCTCAGGCATATTATAAATATGCATAATAAATTTCTATCAATTAATTCTGTGCTACTTGAACATTTTTGGACTACTGTCCTCCTTAAGAGAAAGGTTAGCATAGCACTACAAGTAAATAAGCAAGTCTGGGAACAGATCCATGATATAATTTTATCCCATGGGATTTATTTTTTATTTTTACACAGAGCACTTCTTTCCACGTCACGCAGCCCAAAAACAAGTAAACTGCCCCACCCTTAGCAGAGCCTAGCAGTTCTCATAAAAATAATCCCCAAATCAGGACACAAAAATCCACAGTTGATCAGGCAGGTAAAACAGCAGTGGCTATATAACCCTCAACTAATGCAGTAAATCATCCACCCAGCTCTGACTCCACCTCATTCAAGGAGCAGACGTTAAGGCAACTCAGGGTATCAACCTCCACGGCAGGGACGTGCACAGGAATTTTGAAGGGCAGTTGCTCTGACCTGAAAAAAGGCACTAAACACAGTATCCAAAATGTATTAACAATATAAATGTCACCAAAATACATATGAGAAAAAGAGTTCCTTATATTATTGTTTATTGTTTTTTTAATCATTATTATTTATTTATTTTTTTCCTTTTTTTTTTTATTTGAAAATAAATAATCTAGATTGAATTGACAGATGGGGAAAACTCGCTTTTAATAAAATATTAAATAAAAAAACGCTTAGATTTCGGAAAAAATACAATCCTTTTTTAACCTTTTGGCTTCCCGTACATTCAGTTGCGCTTCTAGCTCGTATTCACTTCTGTTGGTACGTATCACGTATGGTAACTGGGCAAAACTACGCATGATTTGTTGTAGTATGATTGCATAAAGGAAGGAAACAGGAATTCCGGTAGGGAACAGAATCGACTGACGTGCAGGCAGCGCTGCAGCAGTGCAGCCACTTAAACAGAGTTTGCCCTTCCCCTACTGACTTTCACTTTCGGTGCCCGAATGGAAGTGAATGAGGCTTTGCGATCGCGATTATTTTTTTATTTTATTTTATTTTCTCGGAAGGGCGAGTCGGAAGGGCAACTTGAGTCAGGAAAGGCAAACGGGCAGTTGCCCGGGCAACCAGAGCAACCCCCCTGTGCACGTCCCTGCTCCACGGCCTCCTCTGTGGTGAACTCTAGCAGAACAGGCCATGCAGTCTACAGGGTCTTGGCGACAGGTGGTTTAAAATTCCTGTAATAAAAACAATTTAAAAAGTGTTCACAAAAGTCAGATGGCATACCATCCAAAATCCTAACCTGCACCTGACCACACTACAACACAATGCATCAAGAGAGATCCTGAGCGCTCCCTGAACATCAACTCTTACTGAGGTGATTGTCTCCAGGTGTGTGCCGCTACTGGAGAGGCAGGGTGGAGCTTACCTGAGAGGGTGAAACTAGATAGTGGCATTACCAGGCCGAAAGCCACCACAACAAGAAAATGGATAACCACACAGGCTAACTAATTCACTGATATACAAGCTTACATTTAAACAGCTCGCCTTGTTATCAAACTGGAACCATCGCTTAATATTTAGTTTTATCAGAGTTACTAAGCAGCTAGCTATCAACACACAAACACAGTAGTTTTTTTGTTTGTGTTTTTACTAAAGGGGACCAGGACCAAACTCCCCTAAACACATGAGAAAGTCTGAGCACATTGTTCAGTCTTCTCCAGAGCAGCCTTTACTGCCAGTTAACAATCTGAGGAGTCATCAGTCAGATGAACACCGAGCTTTATTTAGACATTAAACCTTTCATTCACAAACACCTCAGAAGAAAAAGCTTCTGATATTCCCTCTGTCACGTCACAGAATACCAACAGCAACTTCTAATGACATTTTCTCACATCTGATACAAATCAGCAGACTCAGAGCAGGACTGAGTTCTAACATATCAAGCATGTCCCACAAAACAAGCAACATGCAGGATAAAGAATAAAGATAGAACCACATCGACAGTGCTGGACATACTTTTGAAAACAAATTGCAACAAACACATAACCCACCAAATGATCAGGAACATTAAGACACAGTTACCATCGCATATTACATTCAGCCTCCAAGAAACCGATAGGATGACCAAGTAAACAGCAGATTTCCCCACAATACTCAAGTTTTTCCTTTAATGCTCACCAGGTTTCACACATAAGTAGGCCTACATAACTAATGAGAACTACAGGCTGCATTAAAATATTTAATCTACTTAACTAATATAATAAGTATATTACACTGGAGAAAACTGCAAAGGAAAATAAAGGTTTACACCTCCACAGACTTGTTTTGGAAGAGTTTTGTTTTGACACATAACAGTGGAAGCTGAGAGTTTTTAGCAGCTACAGCATGATAGAAAGAGAAGCTGGAAGGCAGGTGAAGTTCTGCAAATCCTTCAAACTCAGTGATCAGCTTCCTCTGGTCGCAGTGCAGCCTTCTCTTTGATAGAAACACAAGTCAAAAGGTCAAAACCTTATTGCCTTTTGGCGCCACAGAAGGGGGCAGAGTGACCTCTGCTGGTTGTGCTACCCAATAAATATGTTAGGAAACTAAAATATGAATTAAATAATATAAACTTAAATAAATAGGCTAACTGCTGTCCTAAGCTGCATATAACATTAGTTAACTTGTCTTAATCTGAAGTTACAGGTCACCAATGGCCTTACAAATGTTTAATTCTCCCTAACAGCCTAACAGTACTACTACCTACTGCTAAAAACGTTAATTTAGTTTAGTTTTAGTCTATAATCACCTTTCTAATTACATGGTACATGGGCTACTTTTATTTTGAAGGTTTTACCGGCTGCTTTAGCTTCCATAAAAGGAACAGACCACGTGACTTCCGTTTTGGTTTATAACGAAACACGAGTTGACTGAAGTTCACAGCCTCTCTTCATTCTTTGTTCAAAAAGAAATATCGATTAAATGAATCGCCAAAAACGAAAAACGGGCCGTTTTGAATCATTTTTTTCGTTTTTTGATTCTGACACCAAAAACGGTTATTTGGTTTTTCGTTTTGAAACAAAAAACAGATAAACGGTATTTTCGTTTTTGTATTACAAACGAATTACAGATTATCCAGAGATACTCAGACCTTTGAGGTTCAAAACAAAAGTTGGCCAACAAAAATAAAATCAAGTGTGTGTGTGTAGGCAAAATTGTGATAATGTATAATAAATATATATTGCATTGTGAATCTGAGATATATTTGGATTTTGATTGACTATATGTCTAATCATAAATCTAAAAATATGTGTGTGTTCTTTCTGTTGGCCCATAATAACCATGACAGAGCAGCATTTTCCTTTCACATTAACATTTTATTCCTTTGTCTGAAATCTATTTCTTCTTCATTTCATCTCATTTAGTTCATATAATAGGTTTGCTATTAAATATATGCAAATACTGTTTAAAAAGGGCTTATAAGTAGGCTATAATTCGGAGGAATAAATAATAAACCTGTTTTACCTATGTTGTTATAATTATTTTAAGGCACCCTACGTTTTTTATTAAGTTACTGTAATAATCCTAGTTCAAGTGAAAGGTTTTTAGTCAAATTACATAAAAAAAAAATACAATACTTCGCGACGCCCGTGAAACTTTTCTCCTTCAAACAGCAAAAACTAAATGAACAG